AATGCCATCAAAACAGCATATGAAGGTGAATACGGTAGATCGCTGGAAAGTGCTGTTAAATGGGATACACATGGCGATTTTGAGCGACTTCTTGTTGCACTTCTTCAAGCGGGACGTGATGAAAGCAATCGTGTTGATGAGAGCAAAGCATATGAAGTGTTTCTTGAACTGATTTCTAAGATTCCGTCATTATAAGAAGTTTCAGAAAATTCTAGCGGAAAATCCTGGCTGTGCACATTTGAACTTGAAACTGATTTTTCCATCAGAAAGTGCAGTTAGAAATTACCTTTATGCTCTTAATGATTTCAGCAAAATCGTTACTTCAGGATGCACAAAAACTGTTCGATGCTGGTGAAAATACATGGGGCACTGACGAATCGACATTCACTCAGATTTTAGTGACCGAAAATTTCCATCAACTTCGCAAAGTTTTCGAGAAGTACAACGAAATTGCTGGTCATCCAATTCAGCAGGCGCTTGAGGTTATTGTTTTTTCAATCGTTTTACGGAATTTTGAGCTTAAAGATTTCTCTGTATACTCATAACGAGCAAATACTTCAGCGTGAATTTGGCGATGACACAGAGAAGGGTTTCCTTGTTTTGGCTGACTGCATTGAAAGCACACCACGATTTTTCGCACAACGAATCCATAATGCGATGAAGGTTATTGAATTATTCATCATTCTCGTTTGTTCCACTTCAGTTGATTTCTGAGGTATATTCATAACGAATCAAAACACCAGTTTCAATTATTTTGTCCATAGTTGAAACGGAATATTTTTGTGGGCATTCGTCCGAGTCGTTGATTAAATTACTGAAATGTATCACAAATGAATTTCATCGCAGCTTTTGTACTCTGATCGCGGTTTTGCAGAATTGTTTTCAATTTTAAGGACACAGACACTCATTTCGAAATTTCCAACAAAACTTTACCAGATAAGCACTCGGATTCAGAAAAGTTATCGTATGATATATTGTCATTCGAACTTTCAAAGAAACATTGCTTTGGCTCCGTTCGTCAAATATCGATGTGCGTTTCTTTTCTTCAGGGTTTCGGCACAGATGACAGTGAATTGATTCGACTGATCGTTTCAAGATCTGAATGTGATTTGGCTTTGGTTCGAGAAGCGTATTGCCAAGAATTCGGAACGTCACTTGTTGATGCGATTCAATCTGATTGTTCGGGAGCCTATAAGGATTGCTTAGTTTCTATTGTTGAGGGTAACTGAAAATTATTTCAACTTAATGCGAATGACAAATCTTTTTCTTATACGCCANATTGATTCGTCTTCTGCCTCACAGTATCACTTATTCTGTTCTTTTATACTCCCTCCTGTTATGCTTCTCTTTAATCTTTTCGCAGATATGGTTCCTAATGAAGCCTAATAAACCGTCGATTCTTACTTTCAATTTTCATTCTGATTTTTCCTCTCACGATCAGTTGTCACATGTGAGAAGCCAACTGTGTTCGACATACATATCAAATGCACGGTAAACAACCTGGACTCTTAGCACATTGATCGTCACGCTTTTTTGCTCTATACTCTCACGGTTTTCCTTTCTGGAGTGTTAGAGCGAATCACAAAAATAAATGTATTAAGTATCAATATTAAGAAATGCAAAAGACGTGAAAAAAGTAATAACTTATCAAAATTCGCTCATATTTGGAAAATCTCTGGATGATCTCAAGTCTTCCACTCATCGAGCACGACCTTCCAGCAATACATTTTCAAAATTTGATCGCAGTATAAACAAAAAGAGCAAACATTAGTTCTCCATAATATAATAGAGGAACACTGTAGATCTAATGTAACTGTAGATCCATAATATAATCAAGCAAGTAGGGCTCAGCGGTCTCTAGAAAATGAGTCTTGCAGATAAATTTGTTGATGATTCAGCTCTATTTCGAATCACCTCAAGAGAGACCTCGTCTGACTTGGTAGGGGAACAGGAGGATGGATTGTTTGCAATAGGCGCTGACTAGTGACAATAGGCCAGTGTTTCGCAACCGGGAGTCTCGGATCCCCGGGGGTCAAAGACGGCATGCCAGGGGGCCCGAGAGGGAACGGGATGAGAGGGATTGGATAGTGGGCGTGATGAGAGCTGCGAGAAAGAGTCGAGATGAGGCTTCGTTTTTATCCATTGATGTAGGTGAGTCATCTCGGGTTGTCAACTCGGCCTTCTACTGCCCACTTTCATTTTTGAAATATCTTTGTTTTGTTTTGTTTCAGGTTCTCATGAAATTATATTGTAGGGGGTTCGAGGGCAGCATAAAATTTTCTAGGGGATCCACAGGGCAAAAAAAGGTTGGGAACCACTGCAATAGGCCCTGGAAATCAGTTTGTTGAATGTACACGCAGACATATAGTCATTAAGAATAGCATATACTTTTGTAGATTCGTACAATATGCAACGTGTATATTTTATGTCGAGGAAGAACATAGACAATGAATGAACTTACGTACTGTTGCTCTCACGACGCAAGCTATCTGTCATACTAGAGAGTGGTATTAGAATTTAGCAACTAACCTAGAAAGCATCACACGGATCTGGTGAGCATGCCAATGTTTTAGTATTAGTACGAATTTTCGATTAAAATCTATTGTCATTTCCTAAGGTATTTACATTTCAGTATTTGTAACTTATTTCTTTATTGCTGGTCATCTTTATATTTCTAAGTGTAAAACTGAATCATTATAGAATTTTACACGTCATTTTCACTCAAAATTTTGTCGCATTGTAAACAGTCATTACTTTTGAGTGCGCTGACATTCGAGCGAGCAAACGACCAAAACCGCTTTAGAGAACGTTCTCTCGTTATCGCTCCTCG